TGTCTGTCTGTGTTTGCCCGTATGTGTGTGTCAGTCTGTCTGTCTGTCTGTGTTTGCCCGTATGTGTGTGTCAGTCTGTCTGTCTGTCTGTGTTTGCCCGTATGTGTGTGTCAGTCTGTCTGTCTGTGTTTGCTTGTATGTGTGTGTCTGTCTGTGTGTCTGTGTTTGCTCATATGTGTGTGTCTGTCTGTCTGTGTTTGCTCATATGTGTGTGTCTGTTCGTGTGTCTGTCAGATAGAGATTGGGTTGGATACCAGATGCGATTGAAATCAGAAAGTGGGATGCCCAGACCATCAGCAGAGAAGAGGGGTCCTAATGTAAACTTTGGGACTCACTTCTCCAGAGACCACAGCACAGTGGAGGGCGTGGTCAGTCTGAACAGCTGATAAGACACGCATCCACCACATCAAATAGGCGGAAGTCTACCGCCCAAACATGTAGTAGTAAAGCAGCACCAGCTACAGTTTTGTCTTATTAAAAGAACCTTCTAAAAATCCTACAACAAACAAAAACTTGGCACAAATCACAAATAGGTTTCACATTTTAAGTTGAATTACAGGAAAAATAAGAACTTTTGAACGACATTCTAAATGTCCCACGTTCTCCTGTAGATATATAACTGAGGGAGAAAACCTTCCTGTTTGGACTATTAAGACTATTAACCTGTGTATAAGCGGCACCTGAAACATTTGTAAAAGAAAGTACATATATGATGCACTTGAATATAAGCCGCACCTTTTCATGTTATAATGCAGCAGATAGCAGGCTTTTTTAACCGGTCGCTTATTTTTTTCCAAAAGACAAATTTATCAAATTAACGTAGTATGTATAATCTTGTCATTGGGCATGGATACATTACAATCGATTTATACCATACCACACCATACAAATCTATTATATCCATGTTTTCAACCCAATAGACCTGCTGTAGGCTAGCAGCTGTCAAGTTAGCAACAGGAAGTGGTCATCAGCATTACGTTGAGTAAAATTACGATGGCGAAAGACCCGATCGACGGCAAGCCATGTCGACAGAACACCGCTATTCATTCACCAATCTATTTTGACAATAAAAAGTGCTTATAGCTACTATTAAGTTGATGCAGACCAAATATTAGCGTATTCCGCAAATTATTGAGTCCAAATGTAGTCCTATTAAAATCTTTCACCGCATTGTGCAGAAGAAGTACATCTGCCTTTACATTTACCTGAGAACAGTGGCTGAGACAATGTTCACTCCACTTGCATATACACTCATACGTATGTACAGTATATACTCATATATACTCAGGCATTATACTAAACTGCCCCATCTTGATCATCCTTCCCCTAGCTTGCTGAAGACTTCTCACACTTGCTTTCTGCACAAAGACTTGCACAGTTCATGTTTTCTTCCGTCAAGGACACAGCGAAACACCACGATCACACTGCGAGTGCAAAATGCTGGAAGATATCAAACGCATTACACACAAGCACAACAACAGCTTGGATCTGCAACATTGCACGACAATCAGAGTTCTGACGGCCCGATCGCACAGGCAATTCTGCATGTAGATCACTATCAGCTACACGGCAGCTCGCAAATGAAAGCGCACACGCCTCGTCACTTCAGATTGGGGAGATTCGCCGCCGTCACTCATCAACAAAAAAAAAGACACTACATGGATTGTGATGGCGCAGACAAAAACAAGGCTCCGACAAGAAAATTGCAATTGTAATTAGGACTTCAGGCACATCGATGTTGGAAGTGAGATAGGAGACACTTTTGATAAGGCGAGCTTTGATAACATGTTCCAAAGAGATGAAAAATTAGCCATGATGGTTATGTACATATGTCCCTATCAAATACATAGAAAGGATAATGTTCATTTATTTAACTTTATTAACATTTTGTACATGGTTGGTACATGAATGGTTTTGTTTTTAAATTACTTCTCTGTGGTTTGGTTTTAGTTTGACTTCCTGTCTTGTTGATAGTCTGCCTCGCTCTGATGTGCTCCTCTCCGTTGTAGCTGGGCCATTGTACTGTCTTTGTTTGTGTTCCTGGTTCTTAGTTCCTGCGTTCAGTTTGGATTTCGAGTTTGTTTTTACCTTGGACATTATTTAGATCTCCGTCATTAAATCATTATTTTTGCATTGCTGCATTTCGGTTCCTTCCTCTCACTGCACGTGACACCAATGGCTTCTATGTGTTTGCTATTGCTGCTTTTCCGTGTTCAAACTGATCTGTTGTTGGCAAATCGACAACTTCGTGAAGTCCTCCGAGGCGGCTGCTGTTGTAGTTTAGGGCTTTCCAAAAATGTAATCTTTATTGACGGGAGAGTGCACAGAGACATTAAGCTCATAGAGACGGATATGTTGTGTTCTGATGCTTGTTTTTAAATGTTTATATGGTTTGGCACCTGCATACTGTATCTGTCAGAGCTGGTATCTCTGTGTGCTCCTGTCGGATCAGAAAACCAGCTTCTGTTGAACGTGCCCTGGTCTCGTCGAAAAACTCGAGGAGACTTAGCCTTTTCTGTTGCTGCCCCTAAACTGTGGAATAGTCTTCAAAGTCTCATTAGCGCTGCTTCTTCATTGGAGGTTTTTAAATCTAGTCTAAAGACAAATTTTTACGCCTTGGCTTTTAACACCAACTGAGTTTTACTTTGTAACATGTATTTGTACTGTATGTACTTAATGCTGTTTGCTTTTACTTTTCTATATTTTGTGCCTGTGAAGCACTTTGGGCAACCGGTGTTGTTGTAAATGTGCACCAGATTAGAGCTAGTTTCCATCTGCAGTCCCTGGTCACTGGGATAAAAATTATCGAATTGAATTGAATAAATACATACACATGAATGACTAAGCAAATTAACAAACATGCATGTCATTCCGGTCAGATTCAGATTCAGATTCATTTTATTAGCCATGTGCAGTATAAAAACTACATTGGAATACATTTGCAAAAAAAAGGTACTCTGTGTGCACCGACAGAATAAAAAGCACGATACAATGTAATATAAAATACACATACACTGAATATAAAAGAATAAAAAAACAGCTGACACTGTGGTACCGATCAACAAAACGATACAAGGGGGGTCGCTCTAATGACGTAGAGTTTTGTCAGGATCCCTGCAGTTCTCTCCAATTTGTTCGAACAAATTAAAAAAGGGGACAATGACAGATGGATCAATAGCAGCAATCTTTTCCGGACACGCAATAAATGGCACCTTTATCCCGGTGTTTCCATGGGAGGTGGGAGCAGGAGATCAATGGTCCATAAAACCGTGTCAATCCAGGCACGTCGACCGAGGTGTCGCAGTCCTATTTACCAGGAGCAACATGAGACTGTTTGGACCTGAGTATTTTTCTCATGTAACTTTGTAAAACTGTTTAATGCTGGGACAAGACTTGCAGATGTACGCCGTGTTGACTGTTCCAAGGTCGAGGCTCCGGACGAAGGGTGATTGAGCCTTTTCTGTCCGTGCTCCTCGGCTCTGGAACGACCGAGATAAGCCTAGCACCATCAGTATCTTCTTTTAATTCACTTCTTAAAACCCACTTTTATTGAACAGTTTTATTTGACTGTTTCACTTTGTTTTGTCTTTCCTCTTGCGTGTGCCCTCTTACATTCTGACTTTGTATTATTATGAGGGTTTTTGACTATTATATATATGACTACTTTGTGAACACTGCTTTTGAAAAGTTCTATACAAATAAAAATGTATTATTATTATGAGAAAACAGCCAAGGTACATTAGTGACATCCATCGTGTTAATTCAAATACATAATTACCGCACTATTGCTTTTTTCCACCATTAATGCAACACCTTTTGTGAAGTTGTAGGTTTTTTTGTATCTATTTGGTGGGCACATAGACTGTATAAGTAAGTAAGTAATCTTTATTTATATACCGCCTTTCTCAGACCAGAGTCACAAAGCTGGTCGGAGCTGGGGGGATCCAAAATGGCTGTAAACAGGACTAATCCAGTGAAAAAGACTGCAAGACTAGGCTTCCCGTGTGCACTAATGCACAATGTAACGCCTACTTTAAGAAAAATAATAAAAAAGCACATCTACAAGAAATAAATAGAGAAAAAGGTCGGAAGAGAAGAGAGCCGAAGTGACTAGCTGCACAGCGGGGGCTAGCGCGGTGTTGGTATGGATTTTCCCCTTTATCTGATGTCCATGTCCCCCCTCCATGGGGGCTGACCAATCCAGCGGAACCTGGGAGTAACCTCACAGCCAGTATATAGATAGCTGGGATGGACTAGTTTGGGCTCTTTGTCGGTGTCAACTCTCTATGCAACATGTAGCAGGCTAATGCTGAGGTCCAGAGCCTCCAGGGTTCTCTCTCTCTCTCTCCAACCATCTCTCCTTGGGGTATGATATTTTCTGTTATGTCTGTATGTATTTTGTTATAATTCAGTGTCATTAAATGTCCTCTTTTATATCTATTGGTTTGGGCCTAGTATGTACAGCAACGATTACATTTTCATGATAACACACGGGAAGGGTACCTAACTTTTAAACCACAAACATAACATTTGTGTCATGTGATCTTGGCTCGAGAACAGTTCTATCATTGTTCTGTTTCTGTTCTCTACAACAAAGTGATATTTGTGAATACAGAAAGTGAGGTTCCCCATACAGCTTTAAAGCGGATTGATTTTGGTCACCGGGAAACTCAAAGTGCAAGATAGAAACAGTCGCACAAGGTATTAAGATAGAGTGTAATCCAGACACACACGTAAAAACGCACACACACACACACACACAAACGCACACAAACAGCGATAATGTCCTCCTTCCTTTATTACTCTCACCATCACTGTTGTGTCTAAAAGGGAGTGACAAGCAAATGAGAGAATGCATGGTACTTATAAAGTGCTTTTCATTACACCCAGAGACATTTCACTTCAGGGCAATATTTCGTCACTCCAAACACATTAGATGCAAAAATCTGCCTGGAGAATAATATACACGCTTATAACAATAATAGAAGAACTCAACTTACCCTTGGAGTACTTTTTCTCCAAACCAGTCTCCTCTGACAAGGCTGCGAACGAACACTGCTTCTCCGCCCACACGCTCAAACCGGGTCACATCAGCCTGGAAAAGAGACAAAAACCAAAATATATGGATGTGTTTTTAGGCTAAAACACAAAGCTTAAAGGGGCAGTATGTAATATGGACTCCTAGTGGTCTAATAAAGTCATAACAATTGCAATCACGCTTTTGTTGCCAGAGTCATCCTACCTTTGAAACATGTAGCTTCAAAGCACTGATTACTGATGCAATCCACCGGCTGGGGTTTAGATCAAAACGGTACATACGTGTGATAACTTGTGTTTTTACCCGCAGTCTTTTAAACAAATGTGTAGGGCTTTTTGTTATTTGTAAATGTTGTTGTTTATAGAAAAAAAAGAATAGAAAAAAGCCAAGACCAGCTAAATATCCCCTGACAAACTGGAAACACAAATACCAGCCTCACTCTTCTCTCTGATTGGATAATCTTCTCGTTTTTTTGAATAAGAATAACTATTCATGTGACCTGTTTTCTGAGGACTCATAACATATGTATTTGTAATTTAAAACTGAAATGATTGCATAACCCTTTGATGTTCACTCCTTGAAGAAAGCAATATCATTTAGTTTATCTTATCTTATTTTTATTTTATTTTTTATATGTAAGAAAAAAAAGAAAAACAATATATTTTCATATTTGCTTGTTTTTGAACCCTTAATTTTTCATTATAGGTTGAGATGCAGTTTGAAGGTAAAAGGGCCTAAAACCAAGAAATAAAGGTTCCCCAACCCGGTACATTTCAGTTCCAACCTTCAAATAGATGCAGTAACTCAAAAAGTGACCCACAAAATGATTGAGGAAAGGTGCTAAATATTGGAGTGAAAAACCCAGCAGCTCTCAGGCTTTCAAGTCTTATCATCCTTTGATCTCACTCAGCACGTAAGTGGCCCCACCCACAGCAGAGGGCACACTCTAGATCTGTTAGTTACAAAGAGGGTGATTATTTCAAATGTAAACGTGGTCAATGTTGCTCTTTCGGATCATTTCTGTGTTTTTTTTTACATGTGTTTCACTAACAAACCACCAGTGGACTCTGCAACTGTTCGAAGAAGGCGCATAAATGAAAATACGAGTGAACTATTTATGCAAATGATAAACTTTGAGAATGCATCGTAGTCTACTGTAGATGAACTGTTTAACTCTGTCACCTCTAGTGTTTTGAATGTTCTGGATACCGTTGCCCCTGTGAAGGTTAAAATAGTGAAAAATAAGCAGAAGGCGCCGTGGGCTAAAGCAGACTCGGTCAGGGCACAAAAGAGAAAGTGCCGGAGGGCCGAGCGGAAGTGGCGCAAGTCCAACCTCCAGGTAGATTACGAGATCTTCAAAGATAAGTTGTGCGAGTTTAACCGGGTGCTACGTAGTACGAGAGAAAGGTATTTTTCTGAAATGATTGAAGGCTGCAGCAACAATCTGCGTGTTCTGTTCTCAACAGTTAATAGATTAACAAACCCCCCTGTTCAAATGCCATTAGAGCTTACTTCCAAACGTAAATGCAATGAGTTTGCTAATTTTTTCAATGACAAGGTTCAAGGCATCAAAAACGCCATTGTCTCCAATCCACAGATAACCATCCAACAGCCAGAAAGGCTCTCTGAGCTAACTCACTTTGCACCTGTAAATGATAAAACTGTCCAAGAGATAATCTCCAGTTTGAGCTCCTCCACATGCAGCCTGGATGTACTACCCACTAGATTTCTGAAGTCTGTTCTGAGCAGTCTGTTACCTTCACTCACACAGATAGTAAACATGTCCCTTCATTCTGGAATATTCCCAAAGGCCCTGAAAACTGCAGTCATCAGGCCCCAGCTAAAAAAGAGCAGTCTCGATGCTACGGTACTTAACAACTATCGTCCCATCTCAAATCTGCCATTTATGGGGAAAGTCCTTGAGAAAGTTGTCTACCTACAGCTTACTAGATTTCTTATAATCAACAACTCATTTGATATGTTTCAGTCCGGCTTTAGACCCCACCACAGCACTGAGACTGCTCTTGTTAAGGTTACAAACGATATCCGGCTGAACACTGACGCAGGCAAAGTCTCAATCTTAATCTTGTTAGATCTAAGTGCTGCCTTTGACACCGTCGACCATGAGATCCTCTTACAGAGACTAGAAGACTGGGTTGGCGTCACTGGCACCGCCCTAAGTTGGTTTAGGTCTTACCTTGAAGACAGGAAGTACTTTGTGGAGATTGGAAACTGTGTCTCAGATCATATGGCCCTGACCTGTGGAGACCCACAGGGGTCAATCCTGGGACCTCTTCTGTTCAATCTCTACATGCTGCCGTTAGGTCAGTTAATACGCAGAAACAAAGTGTCCTATCATAACTATGCAGACGACACTCAGATCTATGTCTCACTGACTGCAGGAGAACATGGACCAGTGGACTCACTCCTTCACTGTATCCAACAGATCAGTGAGTGGATGCAAAACAACTTCCTTCAGCTAAACGCAGACAAAACTGAAATGATTGTCTTTGGTCCCCAGAAACAAAGAGAGAGCGTCATCTGTCACCTACAGTCTCTCTCCCTAAAACCTTCAAACAAGGTCAGAAATCTAGGGGTAATACTGGACTCAGACTTAAATTTTAATAGCTACATCAAATCAGTAACATCAGCAGCTTTTTACCATCTAAAAAACATTGCCAGGATCAAAAACATAGTGTCTAAAGCAGAACTGGAGATTCTTATCCATGCATTTGTCTCCAGTAGGTTAGACTACTGCAATGGCCTGCTCACAGGTCTGTCCAAACAGGCTGTAAAACAGCTGCAGTACATTCAAAATGCAGCAGCTCGAGTCCTGACTAGAACCAGGAAGTACGACCACATTAGTCCAGTTCTCAGGTCTCTGCACTGGCTTCCTGTGGCTCAGAGAATAGACTTTAAAACAGCTCTGCTTGTGTACAAGTCTCTGCATAGCCTCGCACCAAAATATATTAGTGACATGTTAGTCCCATATGAACCAGCCCGGACTCTGAGGAGCACAGGGACTGGACTCCTGTTAGTGCCCAGAGTCAGAACTAAACATGGGGAGGCTGCTTTTCAGATTAATGCTGCTAAAATCTGGAACAGTCTTCCTGAAGATGTGAGACAGGCCTCCTCTCTGACAATGTTTAAAACCAGGTTAAAGACAGTTCTGTTTAACTGTGCATACAACTGAGGGATTTTATATTTTTATCTTTCTTTTTAATGTTCTGTGATAATTTATGATTTTAATGCTTTCTTGTTTTGTTCAGCACTTTGAATTGCCTTGTGTATGAACTGTGCTATATAAATAAACTTGCCTTGCCTTGCCTTGCCACTATAGTTCCTCATTCCTACAAAATCGCTGTTCACGTCTTTAATAAACTGGCGATTTCCAAAAGCTTAGGAGGCGTGGGGGAAAAGCGTGCAGCGTGACAGACAGGGCGGACCAGGTGGCGTCTGTGAGAGCAGGGCGTCCAGGCTGCTGTGACCACTTCATTAGCCCACTGACGGCTGAGTGATGGAAGTGTGTCGCTGTAGCAGGCTTCAGACAACACTCCATGGAACGTGAGTTTGTTTCAAAGCCAGTGGTCGTTGGGGAAAAATTGCAAGGCCTTTTGTCTGCGCTGAGAGAGGAACTGTACAGGCAATAAGCATGAAGTGTTTAGGGAAATAATAAGGAACTGACAAAGGGAATAGGCATAACACAACTGTGGATATATGGCATGCTGTCACTGGAATCGGGGAGAGATTCTTCAATCCTCTTGTACACGCTGTGTTATCTCAAAATTAGTACGTTATGTTCTGATTTGTTCACAGTAAAATACGTTTGCAAGACTTTTTCTCTTCATGTGAGAACATTTTAGGAACCCCAGCTATCAACTAATCTAGTACATGCTGGGAATATGTGTTTATTTCCTGTTTGTGTGTAGATATGTCAGTAAATCGGAGCTGGCAGGTGCTCTCCCGGACCCCCATTATTCAGTGTGCAGGCCTCAGGTGGCAGGTGCGGAGAGTTTGATCTGTACTGTGTGTGGCGCCACAAGGGGAATGTCCTCCGGGAAAAGAATTGGACATAGACAAGCGCGTGGAAATAACTGGAGCAAAACTCAAAAGGTCAGCCGCATGTGTGCCTTCAAGTCCGCCACAGCTGTACAGACGCACCCCACACCTTATTTAGAATATTTGTGCGTAGATATGAAACTGGAATGATAAATTGGTCCACTTCTCTGAATAAAACATGTAAATACCAATTGGAGAAGAATCATTATATAGCTGTATGTTAAAGTGGTGTATATGACGTGTGTGTGTGTGTGTGTGTGTGTGTGTGTGCGTGTGTGTGCGTGTGTGTGTGTGTGTGTGTGTTTAATGTATCAGCTGAACATCAGTAGCGGTCGATGTTGATTGTTGTTAACTACCATATAAAAATGACATTTGCTGATGGTAGAAGATACCAGTAGAGGGCGTTCCCGCACTTTCCTCGGTAAAAGAAACAAAAAAGATGGCGGCGGTCGTGTGGCAATATTTTACAGTATCTGGAAAAGATTCGCATTATGCACTTTGTAATACTTGTTCCAGTGAGATTTCAAGAGCGGGGACTGCTAGAACATTATAATCATTGCAGAAAAAATAAATGATGGAGCTGTAAGTATTTTAAGTCGTCACCTGTGTATGTTTTAGGGTCACCTTCTATTTGTTTTGTGTATTCCGTTTGTGTTTTGTCGTTTATTGATCTCCTTTTTGCAGACAACTTTTATTTTTCTCCAGCTAATTGCCACTTACATTGTTGTTGTGGAATGAATATGGTTAAATATTCCACGACTCTGGGCCATTACCACTTATCTCACACAGAGGGGCACACACTGACTGCAAGGACACTGGGACTAAGACAAAACCAGACCTGGACCTAGACCTGGACCTGGACCTGGACCTAGAACCAGACCTTGTACTGGACTTGCATAGAGGACGAGACTGGACAAGATCTCCTGACCACATGAGCTGGACTTGGACCTACACCAACAGAATATAGCCATACCATATATTCTGCGTGTGTTTGTTTGCTGTACTTACGGGGCCCTTAAACCTCTCCATGTGCCGTGACTTTGCTGATAGCAGTTTGCAGTTGCATTTTCAAAACAGCTTTTGAGTTCCACTGGCGTCAAACCAGTAATAGGAGACGAAAAGCCTTCTCTCCACATGCCGAACAACATTGACTTAATTATGTTAAAGTGGGAACATAATTCAGATGCATTTGGGAGTGACTTTCAGTCCATTGAGCGTAGAGCAAAAAGCATTTACCATAGGATCTGCAGCTTCTTAGACTGGCAGTAATACAGATAGGGACATCAAAAATAGGATGCATTCCCCATTGTGGGACTAATAAATGTGTCTTCCATTCATTCATGCAGTATGCTTTCATATAGTACAGTATACACATGTGTGAGGATGACGAGCCCGGCGAGCAAAACAAAAGTCAAGAGCATTAAATAGATAGAACTAAAATGCAGAACTAAACTGATGGATAAATAAATAAATAAATCATGCTTTTACACATTTAGTATGTTTACCAAAAGTAGAGGCAAAATGTATGTGGTTTGTGATTGAATCTATCCCTACTTTAAAATCGTGTGCGAGGAGTTACTCTTTGAAAGAATTTAACGGATAAAATTCAAACATGTTCAAACTTGATTCTTCAAATTTGATTCTCTTCTAGAAGTGGGAGCGAGGTGTAGGGTCGGAGCATGTTTGGGCCTGTGTCATGTCTGTGTGAGTGTGTTTGTGTTGTATGAGAGAACCATGTGAGCACCTGCTTCGACCAACCCATTTTCAAACTGTATGGTTGTTTATTTTAATATCCACTTAAAACATGATTAATATACTTAACTATACAATACAAAGCTGAATGCACATGGGAAAACTGAATCCTTCGCCTGGTCCAGTCGAATTAGATTGTTCATGGAAATGTGTGCACTGAAAATGAGATATAAAATTCCAGTCTGTTTGGAATGATTGAATTGAACCTTTTTCTGGTTACACATGTACATTTGGTCACACTTTAGTTTAGTCCTTACTAATTAACAGCAAACTAAGTGCTAATTTGTGGACAATGTATGGTTAATATCTCTTAATTTGTATTTATTAAGCCCTTATTAGTACATACTCTACATGACCTTATTCAACATCTAACTAACTTACTGACACTTTCCCATGTGGGTTAGGGTTAGGTCTTGGGTTAGGGTGAGGATACACTAATAACCACTTAATTAGCAGTTAATTAGTGAGGGCTAATCTAAAGTGTTGCCGTAAATTCTAATGTAGACATTCACTCTGACTAACGAGTAAAATGGGTTAATATACGTGTTAGCCTCAGCTTACAACTTACTGGTTACTGTAACGGTTCTGTAATAATGCATATGAACGTGACCAAAATAAAACTTCTAAAAAACACAATGACATTGACTGCTGTTTGAACAAAATATTTGGACAATTCAGCCTCTGAGGAGGACATGATTGGACCGTTTGAACATTGATGTCCTGAAAAGAAATCCCATTTTTCATTCGACCAAATCCATCAACCAAGACTGAAAAAGGCTCATACATTGATCAGTTTAGGAACGTTCTTCTTGTATGGTATAGAAGAAACTTTTGGCTCATACACAAAGCAGAAATAAAAGGTGCATCAAATGTCACATGCTCTGAGAGGAAGACTACACCTTCTGGCCTTTCTTGTAGCCAAATACTTCACCTTCAAAAGACTATTGTGAGCATGTGCTGAGCAGAGATTGAGCGATCAAGCAGACTGAACTTGTGCCAGGCTTGCTGTTGGGCCGGTCTCGCTGTAGTGAGCTTGTCGTGGCTCTGTGGTGCCCCATAAGACCAGTGGGCATAAAAAACTCTTTCAAAAGCTCCTGACCTTGTCCCTCTGAAGAGAGATTTCATCTGTTTAGAGCGGTCCCTTCAAGAATACTGATCATAGAGAAACACAGCTTTTCTTTTGCTCCGGAAATACTGTTAGCTGCAGCAGATAATAATAATAATAATAATAATAATAATAATAATAATAATAATAATGCATCGGTTTCATATAGCGCTTTTTAGGACACTCAAAGACACTTTACATTATTCTTTCACTCCATACACTACTACTGTAGCCATAGCTGCCCTGGGGCACACTGACAGACTTGAGGCAACCAGTATGTGCCATTGGCCCCTCCGACCACCACCAACCATTCACACACACACCTGACTCATTCTAGGCAATGGGGGTAAAGTGTCTTGCCTAAGGACACAACAGCAGTTTGGCACTTTACAGCCGCAGCCGCCCCACTGTGGCTGGTGTTCCCAGAGGTTAAGTGTCTTGCCAAGGACACAACGACAGCAGACAGTGGGAGTCGATGGTGAAAGTCGGGCTCGAACCTACAGCCCTCTGGCTCAAAGGCCAATGCTCTACCAACTGAGCTATTGTCGCCAGATGAAGGCAAAAAAGCAGAATTGGCTCGGGATCAATGTAGGTTATACAGTATAATGGTATATGTTACATGCAGTGAGGTTGGTGATTGGGGGGGCACTGACTTCACCCCAATTAGATATACGCATATGATATACATAATTAAGACCTACAAAGCGGCTTAACAGGTGTCTCTCCCAAACTCTTCTCATGTTTAGCTGCAGCCGACTCTTGGGTGTATCCGATTTCAAAAATCTTTTTACCTTTCAATCTCTCCCTTATCATTCCTATCATCACTGGAAGCATAACACTTTTAAATCATCTTAAAATGTGTTATACTGTATGTATTTTAGCCAAAACTGTAGCTGCCCTTAGCAGATGAAGAACAAGAAAGGACGCTGTCAGAATTCTGGGCTCACAAGCGCCCCCTACCCTGAGGCTGGCCTCACTTGGTGACATTACAAGCCGTGGTTGAGTGCAATAAAGATACATATTTGTTTTCAAAAACACAATTTATGACCCATCTTCTCAACAGTAGACATATTGATTGTAAAGGAAATACGTCTGAACTTTGTAAACAGAGTAAACAGTTTGACCACACAGCGTCTCCCTGTGAGCTGTAGCTTTTACGTCTCGCCTTGTCAAGGCTTTTAGGGCTCGCCTCACAACACCGCTCTGTCAAATATGAGAAGAATATGACAATAATCTGCAATTTTGAGGTCAAAATATTTGAAATAAAGCAAAGTTATATTAAAATAATACAACAGCACAAATCACTTGATATTGTGACCAAGTATTATTGTGTTCTTTTTTTCTTTCCATGATCGTACCTCACCTGCCTCCCGCACCTCACTGGTTACATGTGCGTAATCATTACATAGATTTTTCTGCAAAATGGAGAAGCTCTCTGTGCCCAGCAATCACTACTATGGACGCTCTGGATCCTGACTCTGACCTCTCAGTCCGATGCTGTTGCAGTCTACTTAGTAGGGAATTAATATTGTGAATTCAGAGGATTACCCTTGAAAGACTACAACATTAAAATAGAGTGATCAATACAAGAGCAGACTTGTGCCAAAACAGACAGCACTCCGATGATCATCATGTGGAGTTTTTTTGGCGACAGGCTCACCTTTCCTTTGGTGAAGATGAAGAAGGTGTCTCCTCTGGCTCCTTGTCGGATGATGTACTCTCCTTCTTCATAAGTCGTCTGTTTGAGAGAGAACAGAAGAGCAGCAGACATTATACTCTGGGACCATGGATCTACTTATTTGGCTTGTTTACTCCTCATTTACAGTTTAAAGACAGAACCTTTACACAACCTGACTTTTAACAAGCTGTAAAACCACTCCAGTATATTCAAACCGTTTTAGGAACCAGGAAGTATGATTACATTAGTCCAGAGACATTTGCTATCCAAACACTTTGACGAGGATGCAGATTTTCATGTTTGCATCAGTGTCTGGTGGTGATGTGTGATTGTTGTCATTGAAAAAGGTGTGTCAGGGCCTAGAAAGGTTTATCAAGACTTCTCTAAACAGACGACCCAATAAATAAATGGCCGGTATATCTACATTTTTTAGAACAGGGCCATTTTAGTTCACCCGTTAAGGTTAGCCGACATCCCAGATTGCCGCACTGTTCATACTGGATTGGGGCAGCTCCGAGCTTTAAGATGGAGTATGAGTATTTGTAGGATGGGGGAGGCAGCAGAGAGAGCCTCTTGCTGGTTTTGGAGCAGGAGAGAGGAGTTTAGCTGGAAGCCAGGGGGAGCTGATGGGCAGTGACTTGGCCATCACTGCTGACCCACCAATGTTGAGGGTGTTGTGGTTCAGGGTTGAAACACCCAATGATCATTGGATACAACCTGACAACATCAGCTCTTCCTGGCCAGGGCTACATTCACCAAAAGTGAATGAAGGAGAAGCATCTTCGGATGTAATTGTAGTCGTGACATTTCCATATTGATTCACATTTGCCAGAACTGAAGTTTACTCATTTAAGATTAAGATTAAGAGATCCTTCATTCATCCCACAGTGGGGAAATGTTAGTGTTGCTCCACCAGTTACAAAACAGTATGAATGAGGGGCACACAACACAAGATAACAATGATCAATGACTCTATACTAAATACAATTAAATAAAAATCTCCAACATAATGAGAACAAAAACTCTGACTTTAACATAATAAAGAAGTATAACATCTCTCTAATTACTCTCTCACTCCAACCACATTAACGCATATATATTCAATTTTGTGACTCAATCAAAAACGGATACATACAAATAAAGTTGACGATTGGATTCAAGAGATTCACAACGATGTATAGCATGGAGCTGAAGTTGGCTGGATGACACTGTGAACTTGTGTTTATAATCTCAATGGCTTCTTTGTGTGAGCCAGACATAGGGCCACATAATGCCACCGAGGGCCGCATTCAGCTCTTGGGCCTTAGTTTGGATAGGCCTGATCTACACACTTCCAATTTCATACAAATTTCCCCCGAAAGCATTCTTTGATGTCAAATAGACTCATAACATTGAATCCACGTTGTGTCTTGTATTTGTGCACCTTAATCTCTTTCAGGGTCAAGCTCCTATAGAATTAGGGCACACAGAGACTGAATACTACACAGGAGGAATCTCAAGGTGGACTCGTGAAGGATGTGAAGGATGACGTTTCCAAGGTGACAACGGTGAAAAGTTGCTTTGATAAAATGTATGCTTTATGGAAAGGGTATTCTGCACATAATAACTCAATAACGTTTTCATTTTTTGATCCTATTCCTTATGTTCCTCATCATAAATAGCTATTGACATTATCTGGAACATTCGCTTACTTTGATAACTCTCAACATATTCTCAATTATGTATTCATCAGGAATGTATTACTGGTTAAATCCCACAACTACAGCCTGAGTCCTGGGTCTACAGAGTGTATCCTGGGTCTACAGCTTGAGGTCTGGGTCTACAGAGTGTATCCTGGGTCTACAGCTTGAGGTCTGGGTCTACATCTCTGTCCGTGGGAGTGGATCCCTTCTTCAATGTGGGCCAACTGAGGTTTCTTACTTATTTTAGTTTTTCCATTTTAGTTTTTTTTGTTCCTCAGCAATGTAGGAGGGTCTAAGGACAGAGTAGATCCAGGACATTTATTAACATTTATGGACCAATGGCTCCTATGTGTTTATCATTATCTTTTAATTCCTTGTGTTTGAACTGTTTTATCTGTTGTTGGGCAACTTTGTAAAGTCCTTCGAAACAACTGCTGTAGGGATTTATTGGATATATCATTCTGTCAAACGGCCTGGAGACTTATACAACACTATCTGCCATATTTACAGCTTCTCTGCTTCAAAAGGAACCAAACAGAAGCTATCCTCCTCCCTGTCTACTTTGGAGATAAAGCTTGCTATTACTCACATTTCCAGTCTGAAGACTCTTTCAAAAAATACACTATGCTTTGACTTTTTCCAGTTACGTCTGTTGTGACTGTGCATAAATCTGTTAGCCTGAACGCCACATGCTTCACGTCTGCGTCACTGAACACACAATGGGCAGCAATCATCATCCCATTTACCTCACCATTACATAAACATACACAAATCAACAACTGTGTGTCTCTTAACTTACAGTAATAACATAGCAATAGAATCATCTCAATAATATCCAATACATTTGTAGAAAACCCATAATAAATACAAGGAAGATTGAGGTGTATTGTACTTCTAGCAATGTTATTACCATGACATGTTTTGACAGCAAATTTCTCTCTTCTGCATTCTTACTCTCCTGAACTTCTCCAACCGCCACCGGCCGGCTAAGGGTGCCAACAGAGGGCGCAGTCAGACCAGTCAACCCCACACCAGCAGGGGGCGCAGTCTAGCATGGAGTCTTAGCATGTGCGTGAATGGTCGGCGGGGCCTATGGTACATTCTGGTAGCCTCGCTTAAAGAACAAATCTCATGCATTATTCATGTAATTTATTTCCCTTAAAAATACATATTTTCTATTTATTTGATGCTTTTAAGAACATGAGATCAATTATTATTATAAGTAGGATTATATATGGACAATACATAATAAGGTATATCTAGTGGTTGATTTGTTTTGTTAAACCAGTGGGATTTAAGGCACGCAGCTGAAAGAACCACATTTCTGTAGTCTGTAGTTACCTTTGGCTTTTACACAACGGTTCTATCTACCCTTCCTGCTTTTCTTTCTCAAACATTCTATTTGTGGCCATGAAAAGGTTGCATCGAGACGTGTCCGAGTGCTTTGTAGCCCCTGCACTTGCCTCTTCAAGGATGTCCACCATTTTGCTCAGAATGTCTTCTTGCAGATCGTGAAAAGTCGGCACGCTGTAAGAAAAGAGAAACAGGATGCAAAAGTTACAAGTGGGGCATATTTTCATTCATAATGCATTCTTTTGTGAAACTAGAAGACTGTGTTGAAAGTCAGTGCATCAGCCTTGCATTCAGATCAATAATGAATATAGGAAGCCTTTATGAATTATAATAAAGTATGCTCAGAGGAAAATGTGGCTCTAAACATGGAGGCAGCGTGGTTTCCAGGTGGTGGATCTGATACCGGAGGAAAACCAAAAGGAATCCCTTAACAACATTACACATTGTAACATGAAACTGTTTTAAACACAAGTTATTGTTAGAAAATATTGACAAATCCCAAAAGAGCAGAGTAGTACCTTTCTGAAAATAGAGAATGCATTCATTTTATATTCTATATTTATATTTATGGAAGACATTATTCATGTAGGCTTAGAAATAATCTTATGAATTATTATGTTTACTTAATTTTTAGACTAGATTAGCACTCCTGCATCCAGGCAGTGACTCGGATCACTTCCAACATTGAACCAGTTGTTCACAGGGTCAAACAAACAAATAAACAAACAAGCAAACGCTGGTGGTCACATTTGTGCTGTAATATGTGGCACATATACAGCACAATATGCTGCAAAACAAGAGATGGAGTGGAGTTAATCCTCTAGATCAGAAGTGGACTGCTCTGTTGAACAGGGGCTACAATGGTTTAAGTCATCGTATCGGTAAATATTATTTTTTTGGCAAAAAAAAAAGTATTTGTGTTTGTTAAGAGAAGAAGAATTAGAAGGTCCTTTATTCATCCCACAATGGGGACATTTCAGTTTGATACATACACACAAGTTGTTTATCTTATTTTGGACACATCCTGTGTATGTTTGGATTGAACCAACCCTGGATCAAAGGGTACAGATCCTGGGTTTTGTGGACATATTTACAGATTAATGGGTTAGGGTTAGGGTTTTTGATTAACTATCACAAATTACGTTTGTTCAGAGCAATACAAATGTGGTTGTTTTCCTTTGAATAAAAGTTTTAAAATTAGTTTTGATCTGTGATAGTGGCACATATCAAGTCACAAAGCTGCATCAGGTTATGACTTCCAGTGTTTTTAACAGCGACAAACAGACCGCCGGCTGTCGATTGGACGGCTGGGAAGAGATGGGAAGGGTATGTGGGCCGCGTAGAAACATCAAATGGCCCTCTAGTGGTGCAAGTGGGGAATTACACGTTTATAGTCATCCATTTTCTTCCCCTTAATCCATTTCTGGGTCGGAGGGGTGGCAGTCAGAACACCCAATTCACATATTTTGCTTCAGGCAAAGTGGGGTTAAGTGTTTAGTACTCAACAACAGCAGACAAGCATGTTTACATAATTTATCATAAATATCAAACATGGTGCATATCTGAAGGCACAGACTCTTGAACAATGTCATTAGACAGGACAAATCCCAATTTCGCAGAGTTGGGAAACCAAGCTTTCAGGCAGAAATTTCAGGTGACACATTTCTGTTAACTCGCACCAGAAGTTCCCAATATTAGCGCGAGTCTAGAATGAACTACACCAGGTTTTTGACAAGGTACATGTTTTTGCAGAATATTTCTCCTTGAACCGTCATTATGAGACCATGTTTTCTGTCCTTATTTGTGTAATAGATAGGGCTTCATCACATACAGAATATATGGACGCCATCAGATACGCAGCCTGTGATGTTTGTTCCGTTCGCCTCCCGCTCCCGAAGTAACGCTGTCAAACGCACTAAATAAAAACTAGAGCCCAATGTTTATTGAGCAGCAGCGACATTGGCCGACAAAGCCTCTATCAGTTCTTGCCATCTCCCCCCCACCCCCACCCTCACCCTCCCAACTCCCACCCCCCCCCAATCCTCCCACTCATTTTCCACACTTTATTACAGTAATCGGCACCATCTCACCCTCAACCTCCCCTCAATCCAAAATGTGAGCGGCCCCGTCTGGCTTCACGGCACAAAAAACAAGTTGGGATCAAGCTGTGACTTTGTTGACGTGGGTAAAAAAAAAAAAACTCATTTCCTTTGTGATAATTTTAATTTGGCAGACCTCTTTTTGTGTTCGAGGGAATTCATTAGCTTTACAAGGCCAGTGGGGGACTGGGTTTCTTATAACATTGAGGTGGAGGTTCAATTTGTATTAGTATTAGAGTCAATATGCTTATCGTTTTGAGAATTAAAACACCAGGGGCCAATAGTGAGTTTACAAATGAAGAGAAATGATTTCGAAGGGCAGTGTTTTGAGTTCCATTGGGCATAATCAATCGCTTTCATTGTTCTCTCAGTCAAAGGCAAAAGTCTTATAATTAGACGGACTATGTGCAATTATTGCATAAGCCCTACATTATATATACTTATTACACGGCTCCTCACAGCAGCAGTAGAACGCTCCATTGATTTGAATGTCATTTCAAAACGTTCTACCGATCATTATTTCTTGATAACGGACCTCTCAAAACAATAATGACCACTGCCCTTTGGCAACGCACCCTCTGCTTGTAATTCAGATGTATAGATTACTCCGCAAATAGTTCCAGCCACTTCGTCGCTATCGGAGCTAGCCACGCTCATTAAACGTAATTAAATCAATCAACACAATTAAATGTTAATCGGAGAATACATTACACACATACATTCTTTATACACGTGCACGGAGGTTTTCAGAATTATCTGTTAACGTTTTCATGACAAGAAAACTGTTTTAATGCGAGAAAAAGCGATCGCGATAAACCCGGAAGTACGTTCCGGGACATTTTTTGACACATTTACAGAGGATTGACTCATGGATTTAGGTTGAGTTTATGTTTGGGTCACTCACCGCTGATGTTCAGAATTCTTTGTTCAGTTTTCATGTAGAGTTCTAGTTTGGAAGTTGCTAGCCTAACTGTTACACGCATAGCCATGGGAAAGCCTTTGGGAACTATTTTATTTGCAGATATTAAATAATCCTTTCGACATTCATAAAAGTGTTCCGTTGGTACAAAGCCGTATAATAAGTAGGATAATGTACAGTAGGCTTTGCCCTGTCGGTACTTATTTTCTGATAATGACCTGCCTACTATACATTATCCCTTACGTATGATACAGCAAAATAACATGTAAGACACGTTTATTTGAATAGCACAGTTCATACTAAAGTCAATGTAAAGTGCTTGACAAAACAAGGTATTGACACTCATCAGCGTGGTGGCACTTTTTAAATGCCTTTTAACATTTTATTTATAAATGTCCCAATGGATTGTGGATTGGATGTGGTGTTATAGTAAAGCCCTTTGGTCGCCTTGAGTGTTGTAAAAGGCAGGATTACAATTTGATTGATTGATTAAAATAAGACGTAAATAACGTTGATAAGATTAGGTTAAGATGCAATCCTTCAGTTGCATGCACAGCTAAACAGAACTATTTTTAACCTGGATTTGAACATTGTCGGAGTAGAATCCTGTCTCAAATTTTCAGGAAGACTGTTCCAGATTACAGCTGCATAAGTCTGAAACGGGGACGACAGTAGCTCAGTTGGTAGAGCATTGGCCTATGGGCCTGGAGGTCGTGTGTTCGAGCCCACCATGGGACCTACTCCAACTGCTCCCACAAATGTCTACTGTCCTTGTGTCCTTGGGCAAGACACTTAACCCCACATTGCCTGAAGTCCCCGCTGAAAGAACAAGGCTGTTTCACCACTGAAGAAGCAGCCATCTTCCTGTGGACTCACCCCCTGCAGAGGATCAGCGAGGGACTGCTGCTATGAGCATTGGGTGACAGCTTTCATTGCCACCCCCGACCCAGAAATGGACTAATAAAGGGGTTGAAAATAAATAAATGAATGAATGAAGTCTGAAATGGTGGCTTCCCATGTTTAGTCCTGACTCCACCATCCTGGCACCAGCAGGAGGCCACTTACATGAGTTTGTTTCTGTTTGACTGACGTGTAATACATTAGAAATAAAGATTGAAGCAAAGGTAATCTGTTCTTGCAAATAATAGCCTCACTTTGGCCAATTCTGGGAGAAGGGAAAGTGATGGCACAGACATGGCATGTGATTTTTTCCAAAGTTTATAATTTAGCACTTTCTCAAAATGGTTGTCCACACAGACATTGATGTAGAATGGGTGTCAGGCTGATTTGAAACCAGATTGCTTTAGTTCTCAATAGAAGGGAAAGTCACATTGTTTTTTCTGGGGCCGCTGTGTTTTGAATTGACCCCAGTAAAAATATATTATATTAACCACAAATGTGTATCATAAACGCCACAATAAATGAATAGAAGAGAACAGAGTATAAAGAATAGCAAGCTCTATTTTTAGATATAATTATATATACATAAAAACACTGGATTGGTTGTACTTGAAAAAAATGTGCATCGAATTGTTGAGACAGGAAATAAAATTGATTTTCTTCTTTCTCGGTAACAGTCTGACCCAGATTTGATTTTCTGCGGCACCTCAGTCTCACCTCTGTCAGTTTTAAACCATTGGTCAATAATAGTTTTACAGGTTTAAGGAATAACGCTGCTTTTGGCTACGTACAGACATTCTGAATGGAACAATACCATATATGACATTTTTAACAGGCATTTTCATAATGCAGACCCGTGCTTTTTGACCTGTGTTGAGATGCCGAAACAACAGTCAGAGAGGTCAGCGTGTTGTTTGCACCCGTGTCGACTTTTCACGGAAGAAACGGGAACGTGACAAAATAAAAGGTTCAAAACAAACTTTCAAAAATCAAAATAAGTCTTCTGAAGTCGCAGTGCAGCCAGGACCAGAGGGAATCGCAATAAAAAACTATGGCGAGTTTATTATCCTTGTGGAGCAATGAAACATTTTCAATATTATTATTTCAATTCAATGCAATGTATTTGTGTCCATCTTTGTAGATCCATTGACTTAGACTTTCTGACTTTTGAAACATCATATAGTTTTTGCAAGGTAGATAATATTCTCTTACAATCACATGGCTGTGTTTGCAGCTGGTATTTTTCACATTTGGAA